GCCCCGCTCCGACCCAGCGCAGGCCCCAGGCCCCAGGCCCCGCTCCGACCCAGACCAGGCCCCAGGCCCCGCTCCGACCCAGACCAGGCTAACCTTCTCCTCCTCACCAGCCCCATGCCCTCCGCTATCCCCTCGCTGCTGCCTCACTCGCCTGTGACGTACCATGCACCTCGATGAGCTCATCCAGGCTGGGGAAGATGTTCTGGAGCTCAGTGTCACTGAGGATGGACTCGGCCAGCATCCGCTGGTAGAAAACCTCATACAGCACTTTTAGCATTCGCACATGAGCGTGCTCTGTAATGAAGAGCTCTGCAAGATCAACACAGATAGGGAGATCAGACACGGAGCGGGGAATGTAACAGGGAGAGGGTTCGGAGGGGGAGCGGGGAATGTAACAGGGTGAGGGACCAGGGAATGTAACAGGGAGAGGGACCCAGACAGGGGAGAGGGACCCAGACGGGGGGAGAGGGACCCAGACGGGGAGTGGGAAATGTAACAGGGAGAGGGACCAGGCGGGGAGAGGGACCAGACGGGGAGAGGGTTCAGAGAGGGAGCAGGGAATGTAACTGCAGCTCTCCCCCTCACTCACTGTTGACATGGGAGATATGACCATCGAGTACAACATGCACTGTGTGCGTACAAGGGACCCAGATGCTGTAAATCACTGAATAAATACAAACCCTTTTACATTTCAACCTGGAATTCAGGAACTGGCATCTGTCACTTTGTAGTTAAACCACAAAAGTTTCAATTAGCTTCTAATTTGCAACTCGTTCCCAGATATCCTTCATTCTTATCGTGAAGGCAGCCCCCGAACCAAACTCAGAGCGCCGCGCTGTCGGGGGGTCAGCGCCGAGGGAGCGCCGCGCTGTCGGAGGTATTGCCTTTTGGAATGATGTTTGTCAGTTATATAAACAATTTAGATGAATATCTAGCTGGCATGGTTCATACGCTTGTGGCTAACGCCTATAGTGGAGAGAGAAGAAGGTTATCTAAGATTATAAAGGGATCTTAATCAATGGGGCCAATGGGTTGAGGTGTGGTAGATGGAGATGAATTTGAATAAAATATGAGGTATTATATTTTGATAAAGCAAACAAGGACAGGACTTATACTTAATGGTAGGCTGCTGGGCAGTGGTATCGGACAAAGGTACTGTAGGGATCAGGTACATAATTCTTTGCAAGTGGCAATACAAGTAGACAGGGTGGTTAAGAAGGTGTTTAGCACGCTTTCCTTCATTGTTCAGACCACAGAGTATAGGAGTTGGGACGTGTGCAGGACACTGGTGAAGCCACTTTTGGAACACTGTGAGCAGTTTTGGTCACCCTCCTACAGGAAGGATATTATTAAATTGGAGAGGATGCAGAAGAGATTTACTAGGATGTTGCTGGGATTGTAGGATTTGAATTATAGGGAGAAGCTGGATTGGCAGGGACTTTTTTCACTGCAGCGTTGGAGGCTGAGGGGTGACCTGACGGAGGTTTATAAAATCATGAGGGGCATGGATAAGGTAAATAGCATGGGTCTTTTCCCTAGGGTAGGGAGTTCAAGAAGAGGTCTTGAAATGCAGGTTCATAGTTCCTGGAAAGTGAAGTCTCAGGTAGAGAGGATAGTAAGAAGGCGTTTGGTACGTTTGCCTTTATTGGTCAGTGCATTGAGTATAGGAGTTGGGAGGGTCATGTTGCAGCTGTACAGGACATTGGTGAGGGCCACTTTTGGAGTACTGCGTTCAATTATGGCCTCCCTGCTAATAGGAAGGACATTGTTAAACTTGAAAGGGTTCAGAAAGGGTGTTGCCAGGGTTGGAGGGCTTGAGCTACAGGGAGAGGCCGAATAGGCTGGGGCTATTTTCCCTGGAGCGTCGGAGGCTGAGGAGTGACCTTATAGAGGTTTACAAAATTATGAGGGGAATGGATAGGGTAAATAGCAAAGGTCTTTTCCCCCAAGGTAGGGAGGTGACACGTTTTAAAGGTGAGAGGGGAAAGATTTGAAAAGGACACGAGGGGCAAGTTTTTTTTTTTTTTACACAGAGAGTGGTTCGTGTGTGGAAGGAACTGGCAGAGGAAGTGGTGGAGGGTGGTACAGTTACTGCATTTAAAAGGCATTTGGACAAAAACATGAATAAGAAAGGTTTAGAAGAACATGGGCCAAATGTAGGCAAGTGGCTTGGTTTGGTCGGCACGGACGAATAGGAACAAATGGTCCATTTCCGTGCAGTGTGAATCTGTGACTGTGTAACTGCTCTGTGGAGGTGGACGTGAAAGATCCCACGGAGAACTATGGCGAATATTTCCCTTTGGCCAAGGAGCCAACGTGTACCCATCAGTCAACACTGGGGGGTATCGAATGGCACGGGTGCCGTTTGTGGGAGCTTGCCGTGCGACAAAGGATTGGCCAAATCCACCTGAAGAGACATTTCAGTGGTGGTGAGCTAACTCTGGGCCACGCGGAAGGTGACTTCAAAAAACGTCACACTCCTGTCCCCTTCAAGGCGGCACTTCGAGGACAGTGAGCGCAGAGCCCCAGCGCACACAGTAGTTGCACGAACCATCTCACCATTAATGACTTCCTGCCGCTTGACCTCACTTTTCTTCAGCCTGTGGACGGTTTCGGAGTCGACGAGTTGGCGCCAGCTCGGCGGGTCAGCCTCAAGCTCCGAAATGCGCGGCCCATTATCCTCAGACTGGGGAGACAGAAAGGATTGCTGGCCATCTGCTCCTCCGCTCCCTCCGGGCTCCGCACTACACACACATGGACAGAAAGCACAGTCTGAGCTAGGGATCCGGCCTGAGCAAGGCGGGGGGAGGAGAGAGGGAGTGAGAGGAAGACTGA